TATATTAAGGTACCCAGATTTCAAAAAACCCTTTTATCTTCATACAGACATCTCTGGAGTTGCTCTCAGCACAGTATTAGCCCAGAAGGACAAAAATAAAAGGGAATATGCTATTGCATATGCTAGTAAAAGTTTAACCAGAGCTGAAAGAAATTATTCAGCAATGGAATTGGAGTGCTACACGGTGGTCTGGGCCATAGAATACTTCTATTCATATCTTGGATATAAATATTTTTTAGTTGTTACAGACCACAGTACCCTAAAATAGTTACAAACTACTACACTAAAGGGACGCCGAGCTTGATGGATCCTGAAACTTCAGCCTTATAACTTTACTATAGTACACTGGGCTGGTCGAATGTATAATAATGCAGATGCCCTATTCCAAATGATGGAAGAACAGTCTTCACATAAAAAGGATACAATTTTAGAACCAGCCCAATCAACTCCGGGAAATCAGGCTGAAGTAGAAGTATTCTATGCAATAATTGAGGATTATTTTACTGAAGAAATTGTTGAGAAAAATGAAATTTCATGGACAACAGTAGAGGAAATTTGGGATGACATGTGGAACAATAGGTGGGATGAAGAGGAGTTTAATTGATACCTAGAAGATGAGAGACAACGTAGAGAATTAGTGCAGCAATTAAATGACGAATTCTATGGAGAAAGAACCAGGATGACACAAATAAGTTATTACTTACCCGTTAATAGTAATAATGAATCTAATATAATGAACATCGACGATGAGTACCAAATTGATTCGCCAAAGTGGACCAACGACGAATTGAAATTTGATAGCAATTATGAGACCCATAACCTGGTTATGTCCATAATTTCACATGGGTCATAACGAATGCCGGTGGAATACCAACATTGAGGAAGAAATGTTCTATAGCGCCAGAATCGACCCTGAAGACCCCGAATGGTTGTTACCCCTGGACGTCGATGCGATGATGAGTTGAGACTATTATATTAATAGTATAGAATAAGGAATCAGTAAATTCGTTAAAATTAAAAATTGAAATGGAATATATAAAATAATATTAAAACCTTAAAAAAAAAAAAAAAAAAAAAAAAACTTAGCTTATCGCAGACCTGATAATAGAGAGAGGTTGGTCAGGATGGAATAAGGCGAGTTGTGAGGCCCTATTCAAGGAGTCAACAATCAAGAGTTCGATTAAGATTTCAAGGTCCCATAGGGCTACGAAATCACGTGACCCGAAAATAACAGTAGACTGAAAATATAGAAAGTAGCAAACATTAGTAACAAATAAATAAATCATAGACCCCTAAACTAAATCCAACATTAAAACCAATTCAGTCCA